ACTTAGTCACCTGCACTTTTCACGAATTTAGATACCTCGTTGTATAAAAAGAAATTGGCTGCACTTTAGTCCAAATTACAACTCCTTCCGCCAGATTTTTTAAGCAATAAATAGCAACTTTCAAATTGCCGTTGGTTTCTATTTTAAAAGAAGTTTACCCATTAACATAGCAAATCGACTAAATACTATTTTTCGACCAAGCTTTTGACCAACTCTAAATAGGCCTAATAGAAGGCATTTATAAGGGTATCTTATAGTATACATCTGATTACATGTGGTTTATTAGGATCTACCTAAGCAAAACTCCCCGGTAGTGACAATTTCTTAAGGGTAAATTAAGAGCAATAGCACCCCTAAGTCTTTTTCACAGGAGAGAGGTAAACTTGTCTGAGTTTTGCGAATAAATGTACTCCATTTAGAGCATTTTTCTAATTTTGTTAACCTGAAGCAAATTGGCCGTGATATTTTTACGTCAGCAGCGCTGAAGTGAAAGAAGCATGAATTAAATCATATACCGTTCACTTTGGATATATGCATGTATGTGTAAGTTCACTTATGCTTTCTATGGAAGCAACTTTTGACAATTATGGTAAATAGAGTTAACAGTTTAAAGTGTCCACACAAGTTAACAAAATATAGGGCTGACTGAACCCCTAGCCAGCTGCAGAAACAATCAAGAATGATTAAGGAAAAGTCGCTTAAAACTGAAAATCGACACTGTACCTTCACCCGCATAGTAAGGTGACGCTTCCTGCAGTATGATCTACCAAAGGCGAGATAATAGCGTTTCAAAGTGCACTTTTGTGGGCGTGTGCCCAAAAGTTGTAATCACCGCTGCATATGATCTTAGTAAAAGCAATAAGCAACCTCTTCGTGAAGAGTATTTATGAGATGAAAGGAGATGCATAAAATAATTAGGACAACTTGATCGCCTAAAATTATATTTGATGAAATTTTTTGATATGGTTAGTTAGAAAAGGTTCCTTGTCATTTAGTTTTTGGAACCTTGTAATTTGTCATGAGGTCAACTTTGTTTGCAATCTACGTGCTTCTTCATTATTCTACGAGAATAGAGAACTATTCCTCCCATTTTGTTCCCTCAGCTAATATGACCTTTGAAATGCACTTTCGTGGAGATTATATTGAAGCAGTTGCATTAACCTACCAGGATAAAGAGAGATGCTCTTCTTGTTTTAATCTTTTTCCTAAGAGTACGAAGAAAGTCAGTTTGAAATATAGCAAGAGTAAAAGGAAGCAAGATTTAACTGTTACTGCACACAAATTTGATTTTATTAAATGTTTAAATTATAATTTATGGGAAAGGTATTATCAGGCCTACAACTTACCCGATTCTACTTGTTCTTCTTCTCCACTTGCAAATGTTTATATCCTCGATTTGCCTTCAACACAACAAGACATTTATGCAGATCCATGAGTGTTTCCTGAAGATGCAAGAAGACATCCATCTAGGGCAAATATGCATGCATTCAAGGCCGCCTAGCACGGCCCAAATTGTGCCTCATCCCGCAAATGTGCAGCGGTTGATCATCTACATGGCCTCTTAATTAAGAATGCTATTTAAGCAGATATCAGACGCACTACATCCACATCCGTCCCATGTGGTTCTTATAAACATTGGTAATACATTTGAAGTTTCCCTTCAAACCATAAACAGCCTGATTAGTTTGGCTCCAAACTTCTCAGTCAAATTCTCCCTTTTGTATGATTGTTCTGACACCTAAACCCTCTAATATTAGCATATTTGAAAGCTTGTTGCTGCTAGTTATGATTACAATGATTTTCTGAACTCAGCTCAGAATGAACAGTGCCAGCATTGAGGAGACTATTTGGATTTCTTAGATATGGGCTTTCCTTTTGTAGTTTTGGCCACTAAAATGATTCCGTTTAAAGAGACAAAAGCTATGAAGGCATTGCAACATGATTTACCAAATTAAATTGAACTTTGAATTAAAAAAATAGCAGTGGTGCCTTTTTAGATGAAACAATGTTTAGTAAACTTAATTCAGCGCATTTGGATTTGTAAGCTGAATTGGTGTTCTGATGCCGTCAAGATTTTTCCTGATAGTTATAAAAAGAACTGTAGTAAATGAGGTTAATTCTTTGGATATTCTAAAGTTGAAGTTATGATTTTATGTTCGTTGATTATCCACTTTGTGCTGTTAAAATATTTCACTTAATGAAGGCTCTTTAGGCTTGGGATACAAATTTTAGAGTGGGACGTATATAAAAATATCTAAAATATTGCTTCTTGATTTGATCACATTTAAGTATGTGCGATAACTACACAACGGAAATATGATGTATAAAATGGTTGAACATTTATACACATGTATGTGTATCCATTTCATTCCCGTATGTTCATGTACTTCCCACCAATCAAAATTGCTGAAAGTCCAAATCAAGAAGGACCAATAGGGTTTGAAGAATAATAGGCCCAGTTTTTTCCCTTCTACCTAAAATTGTCTCGTCCACCATCCTGGCCCCAAATTATCATTAAATTAACACAAACCAGGATCTGTCTCAACCTCGATAGCTCACTTTAAACATAGGTTTGAGAAAAAGATTCATGTCCAAGAGAAGTCTGTGATTGGATTCTTTTAAAATAAATAGTTTGACCGTGCCATCATTGTCTGTTGTGTAATAAACGGCTTATTTTTCGTTGTGAAGAAAGGGATATAAACCATCGCAGTTTATTTATCTTTTATGGTCTGCATGTGCGATCATCAGGTTGAAACAAGTCATGTGGAAGGGATTGTCAATTTCCAATTCAAAAAAATGTGACAAACCCAAAAATATGGGCGGTTTAGGCTGCTCAGATAAAATAACATACCAAATGTTCCTACTACCTATTCTTGTATTTTTCTGTGATTTATGACGGCTTTGATTCTCTCTGCTTCAGTCGTTCACTTTTGACATGCCCTTCTACGGGAAGTAAAGCATTTAGTAGTTTAAGGGAGAAAAAATCCAATTTATAAAGGAATTAAAGGAGTGGACAGTCAGGTATTGTCATAAAAAATTGTTGGAAATGCGGTGGTGTTGTCAATCAAATCTTTAAAAGTAGTGTTGAAAGTGCATCTAAAGAAGAAGATCATGTGAACATGAATAAATTGTCTGTTGATTATACAGAGGATGAAATAAATCAAGTCGTCTACTTTATCGAAAAGCTAAGGTATATAGACGTAATATTAAATAGAAATTAAAGCTTTCAGAAAGTCGTGGATGCAAAAAACCGTGCGTCAGATAGAGTCGAAGAGCCATCATTAAGAGCAGCGCATACTATTTGGGAACAAAACTAATGTCCTACATTAATAAAATATCATAAAATATAGTGGCATTTTATTCTTAGTTATAAACGAAAAGCTTAACATGATACTCTAACTAAAGTATGCCTTGGTCCCATAAAAACCAAAAATACATGAATACCGCATTCCACTCACTCACCACCACTGTGACTGTATGAGAGGACTTTGTTCATCAAAAGGTATTTGAGTTCTGAAAGTGCAAACCAACATTTTTAGCTCTAACATAGTAAAATTTTTCCAGTACAAAGTACCAACTTTAAGCATTATTGTCGTGTATCGTATGTGGTCAGTGTTTCCATCCAAAGCATTAATGCTTGAGCACATCAAGGACTGGCCATTCTGTACTTTAAAATTGAAAATCCAATTCATTGCAGTCAAGGACGCTAATCTGCAAAATTACTCCACTTTCTTAAAACGTTCATCAGCACTAATATCTCGGTGAGTTAAAATAAGTGCTAGACCAATTTTTGACATAAACAACCCCAATAATATAATAGGACTTAAAATTCACAGTCAGATATCCAATTTATTTTTAAAAACAACCAAAGTTCTGTTAGGAAAAGTTTTATATTAACCTTATATTTGCAAGGAAAACTTATGATTTACATGTACGCGAATTCCTAATGCTTTTGATCTGATATCGTATAAAGAGAGGTGGTAAATTCTGCACATAATATTAGGGATACTTCGGCATTGGAAGTAATCATTT